GTGACAAAAGAGCAGCTCGCGCGGATCCGCCAGATCCAGCAAGGAGAGTTCGCGAAAGTGGCTCGATTTAGGGCTGCAGCCAAAAGGGCCGAAGAGGCAACGATGGCCTCAACGAAGTATGTCTCGATGGCCGAGGGATCGGGTTTCGGAATCCTGGAATCCGAAGAAGAAGTTTGAGGGTACAGCAACCCTCGGTGAAGTCTACAAAAAGCTTCAAAGTATATGGCAGGATACCAGCTGAATTCAGGGTATCTGCAAACTAGTCTTTCGCTCTCAGCGGAGATAAGAAAAAGTCACGTGGAAGATGTGGCAGGAAAGGGAACGGGCGAGAAGCGCGGGATCCGGACCAAACAGTATTTCTTCCAAATTTGATTTCAGTTTTTGATTTATGTTTTTGATTTTAGTTTTGCTGTTAACTTCTACAATTTCAGTAGAAGTTCATGCGGTTGGAATGAGTTGGGCCTGTACGCAGTGATCCTTGCCGGCTCCACCGGTCCTTGACCAAATATGGAAAAGATAGCGTTAGCTTAGGACCAAAAGTAAATAAAAAAAAATTTCGACAAATTCGAAAATTCATTTTTTCCCTCTTTCCTTCCTTCTCGACCTCGTCGCATCTATCTCTGAATTGGGATCGAGCTCAGGCATTTTCCCCATGCCTCTAGTTCGCAAAAAGCGTCCCAATACCAAGTTGGACAACACGAGAGTCCACCCGAGGGCTCTCGAACAATTACCTGGCCTTGTCCAGTCTCCGAAATGCGCGGAGATGAGCAAGGTCTCTACGAAAGGGAAGGAAGAAGCCCTCCCCACCGTCACTGAGCCCAATACTGACATGATCGGGTCGGTCGAAATTATTGAGGAAATTCCTCAACCATCCTCCGTCCCCTACGGGATTGGAGGATCGTCAAAATCTCCTCCGACCGCGTCAATACCGCCGGAGAACGCTGCATCCTAAGCAGCGCCAAAACTGTCGGAGAACGCTGCACCCAAAGCAGCGTCAAAATCAACGTCGCAGCCCAAAGCTGCCACGAAAGCAGATTGCCCTCCGGAACTTCGACCCATTTAGAAGCCGAGCAACGACGTGCCGCCGAAACAGCGGCAAATCTGGCCCTTTGCTCCGCCGCCATATCTGGCGTCGAAGCCACCCTTCTTTCTTTGACCAACGGGTCAAACAGACAATTTTTAGACTCGATGAGAGTCTACTTACGCGCAGCCATCGCGCAATACATGGCCACGGGCCCGGCCTCCACGCCACCCGTCCTACCTCCTCGCCCGGCGAACCCGATCCCAAGGGCTCCCGCCGTCTCAGCGCTGCCTATAAAAAGCACCTGGGCCACGGTGGCCAGAAACGGACTGTCAAAAAAAGCAGTCCCTACTGTTAAGGCTGTGCCGCGACCTGCGGCAAAAGCCCAAAATAAAGAAGCTCCGAAGGCTAAAGTCGACAAACGACTGTTCCTTCGCTTAGAGAGCGATCACCCATGGCGCCAGCCTTCGCCTGACGGCATAAGGCATCAATTATGGAGTAGGCTACTGTACACCTTGAGTGAAAAAAGCTCTATACATCGTGTCAAAACCGGATTTGCGATTCTGACAGCGGATGAAAATGAAAGGGAAGAGCTCTTAGATGCCTCACCGAAGTTGTCGGACCTCAATGCCAAAATCGAGGAAGCCTCCAACCTTGTCGCCTTTCGGATCGCGAATGTTCCAGCAACTATAAAATCAATCAGCCGTATTGAGACAGTCGATGCCGTTAGGATCTCACTGGAGATTTACCGCAAAACACAACGACGTCCATGCCAGGTGCGACCGCACGGGACATGTCGTCCTGGAGCGCCATACAGAAACTGGTATGCCCTTTTCACCCGGGACTCCGCCCCTCGTGCGGGCTTCCGAATTCTCGACGAGTCCGGAGCGGCTACAAAGATCCAGCCTCGTCGCCAAATTGAACAGTGCAAACGCTGTTTGGGCTTCCAAGCCACTCGTAGTTGCTCCCGCGCTCAAGCTTGCTGGAACTGCGGATCAAATATGCACTCGGAAGCCGAGTGCAAGGCCCTCACAAAGTGTCGCAACTGTGGGGGACCCCACCGATCGGATTCTCGGGCCTGCCAAGTCAGACCCAGAAAATCCGGACCGGTGACAAAAGAGCAGCTCGCGTGGATCCGCCACATCGAACAAGGGGAGTTCGCGAAGGTGGCACGAGCACGAGCAACAGCAAAGAAGGCCGAAGAGGCAATCACCGCCGCTGCGAAGGATGTCTCGTTGGCTGAGGCTACAGGTTTCGGAGCCTTGAAAGCTGAAGAAGAAGTTTGAGGACACAGCAACCTCAAAGATGTCCCCTTTTGGGGCATATACTAACCAATAGCAGGATACCGGCTGGATAAAAAGTGCCTGCTAACTCATCTCCTGCTCTCAGCGGAGATTGAGTAAATTTGTCATTTGGAAGATGTGACAGGAAAGGGAGCGGGCGAGAAGCGCGGGATCCGGACCACATGAAAAATCTTGTAAATTTGATTTCAGTCTTTGGCTTTTAGTTTTGATTTTAGTTTTTGATTACAGTTTCTGAGTTATGATTTACCTGCTACTTTTTCTGTAGCGGCTCACGCGGTTGGAATGAGTTGGGCCTGTAAGCAGTGATCCCCGCCGGCTCCACCAGTCTTGTACCGATAGTGGACCTAGAGTTTAAGCTTAGGACTTTAATATAAAAAAAAATAAAAAATAAAAAAGAGCGGCTGCATGGCGTGGATACAAGGAGGTTATTGGGGGTTTTCTAATGCCTAGATGGCGCCACACTCGTTTATGCTGTGGCTTAGGCTGCGTGTCGCTTACATTTGTACTTGTAGCGCACACTTCCCACACGTTTAGCTGTAATCCGAACATGACACTCTTTTAGTCAACTTCTACTTTCGTCCCAAAAATATTGCGCCCATTTCATTGCGCGATATTTCCAACAATTTTACAATTTGACCTTTGTATGTGCCAAGGCTTCGACTACGAGAGAGGAGCTGACACTATAAACACAAACCAACGATGGAAAGTGCCGTGGTCTGCCTCCTGGTGGTGGTCTGTAGTATAGTTTGAGTAGCCTGAGCGCCTATTCCAGTTGGGAAGGAGACACCTCAGATCACATTTTGCGCTGAAAAAATTGGGTGGATGAGAGAGGCTTGTCTGGATAACTTGGGGTTATTGAGATGTTCCCCTGGGTGGGTATTTACGGATGAGGCTTGACTTGGGGTGAAGAAAAAGCCACGATATCTTCGCAGTGACACTTGCAAATGAAATCCGAGACATGAATGCTTTTCCTCTGTATTGAGTCATCTATTATGTACTTTTTCTATGATACTATGACAAAGCTAGATATCTGCAAACTCAATTAAAATCTGACGCAAAATAAATCACCTAAATGATTTTAAAAACACCATGCATCTTTGTCATGCATCGCAACCCTGAGTATCGACATGAGTTTTCATCCTACGTCGAGATTTTAGAGTTTGATAACAATAGATTTATATCAACAGTAGCGAGTCGTAATTGCGTACTTGATGAGGCCTTGGTGAAAGTGGCTCTCGTGCAGGGCAAAAATTTGGCGCGGCTACGAGTGGTGAATCCCTAACTGGTAGTCCAGATTGGTAGGTATCGTAAAATTAGACCGAATCTGATCCTTGAAGAATAAAAAGTACCCAGGTCTGCCTATGACATAGGAAACAGTTTATTTGTCTTTTTCCCGCACATGTGAGTCTTTTTCATCTCCAGAACAGAGCAAAACAACCTCAGTCAGGGGGACTATTCTCAACACCTGTCAGTGGTGTCCCCTATGAACCTCCAGCTCTCACTGTAGAGTCTGCAGAGCCGAGATTGAGTAACAAAGTCCTCACTTCGGAGAGGATTCCCAATCGCTTTCGCGGTCTGTATCGTCTTCATCTCTCAACACATTCCCCTATCACCACTATCATGAAGCTAACCACGATCAGATCAGATGGTGGGGTCGGAGCCCTACTCGTCAGCCACCCTTGATCATGGAGGAAAAGCCATCCGATGAGCTTCCGGAGCGTACCCAGCACCCGATACGGAGATGGCGGATTGGATCAAGGCGACCTCGACTGTTACAGAAGGGAGATATAGATGAATATGCGCACCTCATGTGGTCCCGGTGTCTAAACCTCGCCTGGCTGGGGCTGCAGGTTTTTTGAGACTTTTTCCCGCGCACGCAGTTTGCATTGCTACCATTTTTATTTTTTTTGGGGTAGAAGGTTCCGTGGAAAAGGTGGCTGAATTCCACGGGTAAATACTGAGCTGAATGGCTATTCATCAAGGGGAATATATCAATGATCTTTCAAGTAACAAAAGAGGATAGGAGCACTGTACAAGGTGTGGCCTGGGTGAGAGAGGAGCCCAATGTGCTCTATAGTCATAGACTCAAGTAGTACAATAAAACACACACACACAACCTCAGTCATCTTACCTGTCCGTCTTCCTCTTTCATTGTTACGAAATGTAAAAAGTCGGTTGTCGACAATTTTCGAGGGGGCCATCTCGTCTGCTGCGAATTCCGATCCCTTCCAACCTGTGAGCAATGTAATCGCCTTTCATTCGGAAAGCCGACAATAACACTAGATTCAAAGTTCACCAATGCCTGCTGGCTTGGGTAAATCATGCCAATGCATCGAAGTTCGAGGAGCTAGAATGCGACCAACTTCTGAATCGTCGTCTCATCCCTTCCGCGGTGATGCGCAAACAAACGCAAGATTGGCAACCAAACCCCCCTACATCTCGATGATTAGTGATGAGGCCTATTCTCTGGACGACTATTGGCCATGGAGGATGAGCGGGGCTTTTTGATTCTAGTTCTCATATAGGTGTAATAAAACGTAATTTATATGTTAAATTAAAATAACTAATGCCTTATAATCGCCATACTTTAAACTTGGCTGATTGAGATTGCCAAGCTACAACTTGGCTTAAAAGGAACGAAGAGCGTCCATAATCTTTACTGACTGACTATTCATTTCGATCTCTTTACCTCATCTCTACCATCCTTCAAAACTAAGCATTTGACGGCGCGAGATTCCAACGAAAATACAATTACAAGCCACTCGACTATGAAGCTCTTCACGTATAGCGAGGCTATCACGCTATTCAGCATCTTAGCGCCAGTGACAGCCATGGCAATTCACCAGGGCCCAGAGCTAATAGCAGCGCCCAACCGAAATAGTGACTTCAGCTTTTATTGTCGAAGTGGAAAGTCGTACAACAAAAATTATCTCATGGGAGAAGTTCGAGATGCCATAAATCTCATTGGCGAATCTAGAACATTCCTTATTCATCCTGAACCTTTCGAAGAAGTTCAGTACCAAATCTCCGGAGAACAATGGTTTTATCCTCTTCAAGGTAATGATATAATCCATGGAATTTAGTTGCTTTCCGAGATCCTTGACGTTAACCAACACTTGCAATCTAATAGCGTACTATGGCTCACGAGATCATGTCGTGTTCACAAGAGACGCACAAGTCGCGGGCGTGGTTCACCTCATGATCCGTGATAATGGCGAGCGATACTACGATCCCTGTATTATAACATAAGTAATTGCCTCCCAACAGATCTTCCTCATATGTATTGTTATGACCCAAAATGTTGATAAGAATTGTAAGTGGACAACTGACGTTAAATTCTATTGCGTTTATGTCGAGATACTGAGGAAAAATAGTCACCGGGCTGATTATTCTTGCAGGATATTCTACAGTTTATCAAAATGTTTAACATGATTCAATTACACAGAAGAATGCATAGAATTTAATTGCTGAAAGTGTGAAAATATATTAATCAGGAAACAAGAGAACTAAGAATGATTTCCTGGTAGTGTGAAGACGTTTCAAACAAGTTGAAAATTCCCGACATACAATGCACACTCGGCAAGCCTGAGGTAATGCGGCACCTTCATGAGGTCCCTTGATGAGATCTGTAGCTTCAGTGAGAGCTGTTAAAGATATTAGTGAAAGTATCCAATACTTGCATTCTAAATAATTGTAGACAATGATATATGGGCAATCACGTATACAATTACCAATTCCTGTGGCCCACGATAGACAGTGCAAATGAAAATAGTTGAAGTTTTTTTTGTATTAGATTTTAATTGAGTTTGCAGATATCTAGCTTTGTCATAATATCATAGAAAAAGTACATAAAAGATGACTCAATACAGAGGAGAAGCATTCATGTCTCGGATTTCATTTGCAAGTGTCACTGCGAAGTTATCGTGGCTTTTTCTTCAACCCAAGTCAAGCCTCATCCGTGAATACCCACCCAGGGGAACATCTCAATAACCCCAAGTTATCCAGACAAGCCTCTCTCATCCACCCAATTTTTTCAGCGCAAAATGTGATCTGAGGTGTCTCCTTCCCAAGTGGAGTAGATGCCTAGGCTACTCAGACTACACCGTAGAATAGCACCAAGAGGCGGACCACAACACCTTCCATCCTTTGCCTATGTCTATAGTGTGATAGTTGAAGTTATGGATTGGTTGATGTATAAAAGACATTTGGAGGGCAAATACTGAACAATTGTCCGCGGACCGGCTGTGATGCTGACATAAGAATATTCCCCCAGAGCCAAGTTTAGACAAATTTCGCTGGACCGAACAAATTGGCCCAAGAGGCAATAATTCAGCAAGCTCCGCCATGTCAAATTTTCACTGCCAATGAGATATATTCCTACCTAGGCCACACCAAGCCTACAAGCAGGGCCTGGCAAATCCTCTTTCTGGTGACCACACTTTTAAAATACTCTCTGTCCCCATTTGGCCACCAAATTCACGCCCACGCCACTCATCATACCCGACGGAGGAAATTAACAGTGATGCATAGATCTGGGAGGCAGCTCTTTGGGTTGAACGTGCGAGGGATCAGGATAAGTTTAGAGGAATATGGAGAGGGTGGATAAAATCTCGACGGATGTGTAATATGAGAATTCGGCAAGGGGTGTTACAGGTTGAGCTATGTATGTGCCAACACTTGATTGCAAAAGTCCACCTAACACTGTAAAAAACAAACCAGCCATGCTCGCCGCTGCAATGCCTTAAAGACTTACGTGTAATATCCTAGCTGAGCCATCCTGAACCCAGCTGTTCAGGAACGCTATCAGTATTGTGAGGTTATGGATCGTAGAGAAATGCTGGAATGGTATAGGGAGGTGAAGGATATATGCCGAACAATGAAGCAGTTGAATAGAGCTTAAGGGTGAAGCTTGGTAGGGTGACACGAAGAGGGTATGAATAGACCTTCAGAGATATTCAGTAAATGTAATGAACTGAAGATTTCCGAAGGAGAAGAATACTACATATATATACAGGAATTAGTCCTACTGAGACGAATTTAGAAATAAGCCAGGATATGCGCCCGTGTCCCAGTATGGCGACATTATCATGCTGATGGTATGTCTTGACCACCAGTAGACCCCCAAGCTAGCTGAGTGTAAGACAGAATCATGCATATACCATAATTTCCAACATATCTTGTGTTAAGCGCCAAGACTAATTAATATTACAGAAAATAGATGTGACGCAGTATTAAATGATACGAATAACGGAAACGAAAACGAGATAGTACATTACTAGTGTAACAGATGCAGGACTCTTAGAATTACAACAATCAGTCCTGTCCCTGGCTTGTGCCTACGGTTCGTAAACACACTGCGGTGTCGCCTTACTCATTGCCTGTCAGGTTCTCTTGGGACCTTGTTGCGATTTCATGGTAAGAGGAGCAGAAAGTATAGCTCAAAGAATATTGTTTCCATTAAAGTTCTAAGTTACATGTAAAACGCGAATTTATGTGCGCATATCCTAGAGTTAAAGTGGGTATGCGAACAACAATTATTACAGTGAAAATTCTTCAGCACAGCTGATCACGAAACCATTGTGCGGGGAATAAAATAGTACTTACCCCGCACCATTAACGCCATCCTATTTGTCGCAAAGTAAACGTGACCATATCTCTCACTGCATTTGCATATAATATCATATTACCCCGCACATGCAAATGTATGAGAGAATATCTCAACAGCGAAAAGAAACTAAAATGTAGAATACAGGATGTATTGTGCAGCATGCAGGAAAGTTGTTCATATTTGCAAGGAATGCCAATTATCGTAAGGAATGTGGCAAATTCCAACAGACCTTATTACTTAACTTGAGCAGGAAGGCGTTAGATGTTGGATATTTGATGGTAATATTATAGACTGACAAAAGTGTAGATTGTAACAGCACGGCATTTTGTTATGTCATAACATATATTAGGTGACCAAGGAGGTATGCTCGGTAAGGGGTCAATATGCGTGAGGAGATAAGATAAGGTCACGCGATCCTGGGAAGCGAGAGGACACAAAAAAGCCCGTAGATTCTTTTGTCATTAAATTTTCTTTCTTTCTTCTTTGTCTTAGTATTCGCTCAATAGATTGAATATAAAGTTAAACAAGCTGTACTTTCACTTGTGCTTATTATACACCGTGACATAATACTAAGGCCACCGAATCCGCTCAACACAACCTTTGCAGGGAGGTAAAATACTAATTGCGGACTCCGTGGCGTGGACAGCTAATAGCTTACACCATCCGGACAGTCATTACCCATTAGCCTCAGGGAAGAGACAAGATTTTAAGACTTGAACAGATTACAGGGCCACTTTATTCATTATTGAGATAAATCACCCAATTATTTACGACCAGTTCCTACTGTTATCAAAACCCACCCATCACACTCCCTTACATCTAGCGAAAAGTTGCACTCAACATCATGCCGGCCCCCACCACCTCCAAAGTTGGTAAGAGAAGAGCTGGAACGGAAGATTCGGAGAGCTGGCCAAGAGGAGATTTCAAGAAATCGATCTTTGCAACTCGTGCGCCAGGAGATGAGGAGAAACACCACACCGTACCGGAACTCCCATGGAACAAGCCTGTAATCGAAGAGGTGCTGAAAAACGAGTACGAGAAACGTCTCGCCGCGCGCGTCGCCGAAAACAAGAGCGAGACAGCAGAAGAATTTATAGAAAATGTCCTAAGAGGTATGTGCGTCGAACTCGCCGAGCGATCCAACACCATTGGCGGATATTGTGAAAAGGCACACCAGGAAAAGGAAGAAGCAGATAATCTGGCACAAAAATGGATCATCAAATCAAATCGCTGGAAAGATGCTGTCAGGAATTGAGAATAGAGCAGCACCCTCATATTCTTTCCCTACACTACATCTGATTATTCTCTCATCTTAGAGCGTTTACCGGGTTACAATGGTTGCTATGGGTTACAAATGAAGTAATAGAATAGCAGCAGGCGCACCCCTTGAAGCCTTAGTTGCTCTGGTTACTATGATGTATATATGGGTTGGGTAGAGCCGATGTAGAGGGCCACGTCTTGTTTTCCGTCTTCCATTGACCTTGTCTCTTGTCCTAGTTTCTCTTGTCCCTTGTCCTCAGTTATAGCTAGAATCCCGAATTAATACCTTAGTCTATGACAAATCTTGTCAGATATCACTCGCACTTCTAAGTTATCCATCAAACACAACCCCTGGTACCCTCGAGTTTGACACCGCCCTATGGGCCGCTCTACGAAATGTCAAAGGAAGAGCTATTGGTCCGTAAGAAAACTCTCGCTGATCTCCTTGACAAAGGCTGGATACGAGCAAGTTCTTTGCCAGCCAGCTCACCGGTGCTTTTTGTGAGGAAACCAGGGGGTGGCTTAAGGTTTTGTGTCAATTATTGGGGACTTAATGCAATTACAAAAAAAGATCGCTAACCGCTCCCACTTATAAGGGAGACACTACGTCAACTGACCAAAGCTTGTTGGTTAACGAAAGCGGATGTACGCACCACCTTTCATCGCCTGCATATCAAGGAGGGAGATGAATGGAAAACTGCTTTTTGCTCACGTCAAGGCTCATTTGAATGGCTAGTTTGTCCCTTTGGATTATGCGGGGCACCAGCAACATTTCAACATTTTATCAACAGCACCCTACAGGAGTTCTTAGATGTCTTTTGCTCAGCGTATGTTTGTGACGCCCCGACATTTTAGTGGCCACGTGGTCGTCGGTTCAATAGTTGGTAAGCCAACACAGGGTCAATCCAGGAATTCCAACGACTAGTTTCACACACTGTCACGGTTTCATTACAAAAATGCATGAGTAATGTTGTAGGTACAATATTTTAATTATAATTCTCTGAAGAGGGAATTTCTGTACTTAATGACTACCTATATATACAGACTGAAATACCCCTCCTCGATAAGGTTCTCTCTATGACCTGTCAACTCAGACTCCCCGACAATCGCCTGTAGATCCTTGATACTTCTGTAACCCTCTGTGACGGCTTGTAAGCCGGTAATTGCCTGTAGCCTGCGCTGTCAAACGCAGGCTTAGCATGAAACTAGGCAGGGACTATTCTTGGAAGCAGGGTCTTATAACTTGGCAAACACCTCTAAGAATAGGGCACGAGAAGGGATACGAGATGGGATACGAGATGGGATACAGATATACAGATAGAAAACTGTGTCATTGGCCTGGATAATAATCATGTATAAAGTAACTGTTATTATCCTCTTC